GCCCCGGCCCCGCCCCCGCGCGCTCCTCGCAGGTGCCGCTGCCTCCCTCCCGCCCTGTGGCTCGGGCGTGACACACTGCTTTGGCCAAATTTCATCTCGGTTCTTTCCCTGGCCATCACCACCCTCCCTGTTGTTTTCATCATAACAATGACTGGTATATTTTTCCCGAAGAGTTTAAAAGCAAAGGTCAGTGCTGAAACCTCGTCACCCTTGGGAATTTTGTCTCCTCGGTTGTCTCCCACCGAGGCCACAGTAGGAACGAAGATACCCTGATTTACACCTTTAGAGTCACTACGGAATGTGTACTGTAGGGGGGGGCCCAGTGATCACAGTGTTCGACAACTGTAAGTAAACGGGAAGCTGGTGGGGGGAAAGGGACAGAAGCGGTAAAGCAGTATGACTGCAAGGCTCAAGACAAATCTTCAGTACTCTTTCTAGTGGACTTTGAGACTTAGGACACCATTCGCTGCAAATATGTGCATTCAAAAGTGCACATTCAAGGACTCCTTGGTCATCCAATCCTATTCTACTACAAAGTCACAAATCTCTATTACAACCATAATTTTGCTTACCATAAATTAGACTTGTGGATTTGTTCCTTAAAAGAGCACAATCCAGTAATCCTAGCGTAGCTGGTGAATCAGTGTCGCCTTCACTTATGAAGCAAAGGTTCAAAGGAACCTTCCAAAGCGAAAGCCACAAAGGACAACTTCGAATCTTACGTTTCAGAAAAGGGAAAAGCTCTTAAATTTACATCATCATTTCTTTTGTAGAAACCGGAGCAGCGATGACTAAAAAACTGATGGTTAGTGAAAAGTATTTGCTTTATCTCCCACAGACAGAAGTCATTTTCTTGCCAGCGTGGTAGATGGTGGAGATGACTGTAGGGGCCAAATCACCAAATCCAGCAACCACTGATGCTTCATGTATGCATCAGTGTCCAAAGATATATTTACAATTTGAAATGCAACAAGAAGTAGACTCTCAGAGCCTTAAAAGCTATTTTATAACTAAACTTATGTGAAGTGAACATAAGCAAAATAGTCATTTTACTACCACAGCAAAAGGAATATATTTTCTGAAGTAGCTTCAAATGATTACATTTTAATAATCCTTTTAAGAACCATTTTGCAAAACTAGATATGCCAGTTCCCAAACTGGGACCAGCTTCAATAAGACAGGGCAACCATAGAAAGTAAAAAAACAAGTCAGGTCAAGCAACTTTATAGCAGAAGGATTATTGTTCATGTCTTTCATCAAGATAGTGAATAGATCAATTTGTGAAAACTCACCGTATTTCTAGCATACTTAAAATATGTAATGGAAGATATGACCATAAATACTACATCATATACAAAATTACTTGCTATTTTTCTACTTTGTGTCTCAACCTACTTTAAACAGATTTTCACAGAGTAACAGTTAATGAAGTCCATAGGGGCATGAATGTGATTGGTAATCAACAGTAAGTGATCTTAATCAGCTTTCCAGGAAGGAATGAACTTAAAGTGGATATTAACAGGACATACCAGGTATTACTGAAAAATACTGTATGTTTAAATAACTTAATTACAGTAAGAGACACATTGCCATCAATCCCCTCCAAAATAGTTCCCCTCACTTTGAACACTTTGAACATCCCATCATTCTTGCCACTTTCTGAAACAGTCTTACTACAAGTCCTCTTTATGAATGTCTCAAGTTGTGGTTGCCTCAGTGTCCTGAATTGATTATAAACTTTTACCTTTTATAGTAATTTTTATGTTAGGGAAGAGCCAGAGTCATATGGTCAAGGTGACAGAACCAGTGAATAAAGGTGATAAGGACGCATGGAAATGTTTTCACAAGCTTGCCATTCAGATGAATGACTTGCAGCAGCAGCATTCACTGTATTTTTAATCAAATCTTGTAATGACACCTATGAAAAAGGACTTCCAGAACTGCTTTAGAAAGTGGCAAGACTTTTACAAGACATGGGAGATTAAGTTTAATAGAATTTAAATAAACAATGATTAAATTTTTTTAAAAAGGAAAGTGGCAAGAATGATGGGATGCGTTCAAAGTAAGTTCAAAACAAGGAATATTCTGAGGAGGATTAATGGAAATGTGTCTTTTACTTAATAAAGTTAAAAAATTTAAACATTTACCATGTTTTAAAATTACCCCTGGTATGTTAGCAATGGAGGAGAGGTTACAAATATGCTAGAGCAATACCTGAAGGTGGATGTGGAGGTAGGGGCACATAATGGGCTGGGTGTGCAGGTGTGGGTGTGGGGGTGTACAGTCATTGTAAGGAAGTCTGTGCTTTTTGTCCCTAGAGCCAGAATGATTGGTAGTGAAACATTCTGTGAATTCTCCTCTTCCCTCTTCAGTAACTATCCTACTTCACTCACACCACACACACATACACACACACACACACACACACACACACACACACACACCAATAAATTCAAACACTTGTTTGCTTAACCAAATAATAAAAGAAATGTTAAGGAAGGCAACATTCCTGAGCTGTGTGTGGATTCTAAGTATTCAGATGTGGAATTTTCAGCTACTAGGCTGCTTCTCTCTTTCCCCTGGGGCTGCTCCCCACTTACTACACTTAACCCTTGGATGTACAGGACTAGGAAAAAGAAAAAAAGACAGGCTAAAAGAATCACAGGTATTAATCCCTATATCATAATTGTTTTCAGCCTTTTTGTTTTCCAAGTGTAGAAGCCAAGATCCAGAGAGGTGGCAAATTCATAATTACAAAACTCATCTTCGTAGAGCCAAGATTAAAACAAAAGTGTCAGTTCAGTTTTAGTTACACATCTCAGGAGAACTTTGCAAGTTCAAGAATTCAAGAGAGATCTAATAAAAAAGAGATTAGAACAAAAGAAGGAGTAAGAAAGGGAGAGGAAGAAGAGAGAAAGGAAGATGAGGAAGAAGAAAGGGAAAAATA